TATATATGTGTGTGTGTGTGTTAAAGAATGCTAAGTTCCGTTTTTTGATGACTACATGTTTCTGCTGCAGTAGTTGTTGTTTAGCCGCTAGCCATGTTCGAACCTTTGCGGCCACATGGACTGTAGCCCTCCAGGCCCCTCTCTCCACGGGGTTTCCTAGGCAAGAATACTGGGATGGATTGTCGTTTCTTTTTCTGAGGGATCTTCCTGATCCAGTGAACTCATGTCTCCTGCATTGCAGGTGGATTCTTGACCTCTGAGCCCCCAGAAAAGGAGCCATAATGGGTCTATGCTTGTGTGCGTGCCAAGTCACTTCAGTGTGTCCAACTCTTTGCAACCCTACTGATTGTAGCCCGCCAGCCTCCTCTGTTCCTGGGATTCTCCGGGCAAGAATATGAGAGTTGGTGGCCGTGGCCTCTTCCAGAGGATCTTCATGACCCAGGGATTGAACCCATGTCTCTTATAACGCCTGCATTGGCAGGTGGGTTCTTTACACTAGCACCACCTGGGAAGCCCAAAAAAACCTCAAATCTTAGAAACATAAATTCATTGCATTGACTTGAGAGTCTCCTAATAAGTATCAAAGATAACCACAGTGTCAGTTTGCCATGGCTAGTCCATATGCTGCCAGTAACTTATTTTTGTAATGCTTTGGACCATTTCCAAATTGCAAAATCTAAGTTTACACATATGAAATAAAATTAGCACATATTTGATAGAGGTTCTCTGAGTGCTGAGAGGAAATTCTGTGATATAAACATTAACTGAGCCCTGATTTCTCTCGATTGATATTAAACAGTAACCAGTTTTATGTATGAAGTATAGAGCTTAGAGCTACAAGTGGTCATCCTCATTTTTTCCCCTATATTTTATGTAACCATTGATAGAGTACTAACAGATATTTCATTGGTGAAGTCCTCATTGTTTCCCCATTGACTAATTGTATTGTCATTTAAAGCCATTTGGAATGTGCTTAACTTGGTTTATTTATTTTCAGGACATATACTAATAAATATATATTTAGTTTGTTACTAATTTTCATTATATTCCTAATTTTTGAATCTAATAATATGAACTACAAATCTGCAGCAGACTCTCCATCTGTCTGAGAATTCTAAGACAGAGATTTCTTTTCCTCACTTAAGCAGCCAGTTTCCTTTTATAGTATAATGTAGTAGCTCTTCACTGGAGGAGGGAATTGCAAACCACTTCAATATTCTTGCCTTGAGAACCCCATGAACAGTATGAAAAGGCAAAAAGATAGGACACTGAAAGATGAACTCCCCAGGTCGGTAGGTGCCCAGTATGCTACTGGAGATCAGTGGAGAAATAACTCCAGAAAGAATGAAGGGATGGAGCCAAAACAAAAACAACACCCAGGTGTGGATGTGACTGGTGATGGAAGTAAGTCTGATGCTGTAAAGAGCAATATTGCATAGGAACCTGGAATGTTAGGTCCATGAATCAAGGCAAATTGGAAGTGGTCAAACAGGAGATGGCAATAGTGAACTCACTGCAGATGGTGACTGCAGCCATGAAATTAAAAGAAGCTTATTCCTTAGAAGAAAAGTTATGACCAACTTAGCATATTAAAAAGCAGAGACATTACTTTGCCAACAAAGGTCCGTCTAGTCAAGGCTACGATTTTTCCAGTGGTCATGTATGGATGTGAGAGCTGGACTATAGAGAAAGCTGAGCGCCAAAGAATTGATGCTTTTGAACTGTGGTGTTGGAGAAAACTCTTGAGAGTCTCTTGGACTGCAAGGAGATCCAACCAGTCCATCCTAAAGGAAATCAGTTCTGGGTGTTCATTGGAAAGACTGACATTGAAGCTGAAGTCCAATACTTTGGCTACCTGATGCAAAGAACTGACTCATTTGAAAATTCCCTGATGCTGGGAAAGAGTGAAGGTGAAAGGAGAAGGGGACAACAGAGGATGAGATGGTTGGATGGCATCACCAACTCAATGGACATAGGTTTGAGTAAACTCTGGGAGTTAGTGATGGACAGGGAGGCATGGCGTGCTTCAGTCCACGGGGTCGCAAAGAGTCGGACAGGACTGAGCAACTGAACTGAACTGATAGGAGCTCTTGGGCTTCCCAGGTGGTAAAGAATCACCTGACATTGCAGGAGATACAAGAGAAACAGAAAAACTGTAAGTCAGGAAGAGCATCTGGAGGAGGAAATGGAAACCCGCTCCAGTATTCTCGCCTGGAGAATCCCATGGATGGGGGGACTGGAGGGCTACAGTCCACTGGGTCGCAAAGAGCCAGACATGACTTAGCAGCAAACTGCAGCAACTACACATTCACACTTAGTATAACTGTGTTCTTTTATCCACGACCTGGGAGTCTGGCCCCTTCTTTCACAGAGACTGTACTGTATCAGGGGCTTCCCAGGCGGTGTTAGTAGTGAAGAGCCCTCCTGCCAATGCAAGAGTTGCAAGATACAAGGGTTTAATCCCTGGGTGCGGAAAAGCCCCTGGAGGAGGGCATGGCAACCCACTCCAGTGTTCTAGCCTGAAAAATCGGTGGACAGAGGAGCCTGGTGGGCTATAGTCCGTGGCGTTGCAAAGAGTCAGACACAACTGAAGCAAATTAGCGCAGCACACAGAACTATATATATATATGTGTGTGTGTGTGTGTGTGTGTGTATATACTATAACAGATTTTTTAATTAAAAAATTTATTTTTCTGAATTTAATAATCTTATTTGTTTCCCTTTCATTGTGTTCCATACTCTTGGATAGAAGATATTGAATATTCTTGAGAAATTGTGAAGAATTATATAAAATTAGGCTTAAATATTACCATTATTTTATTTTATTCTGAAAATTACTTTCATACAAATGCACTTACATGAGGTCTTATACCAAAAAAAAAAAAATGTAGCCATATATGAGTCAATAATATATTAAATGCTTTTGGAAAATTGTGAAGGTCTATACAAATGTTATATGCTCTTTTTGATAGTAGTCGTGGTGTTGTTTCATTCTAAAAAGTAAACTTTCAAATGAGTTTCTTTGCATGAAAGGCTAATATAATAAGCATTGCAACTAGCTACCTTCTCATGTAGTGGAACCATTTGCATATTATTTTAGCTGAAACTGAGAAAAAATAAAAAATAAAAACGTAACAATATTTACTGAGGCTTTAGCTTTCTCATTGTGCTGTTTAGCCTACTTGCCACTAGTTATTTCAGTATTTAGAAAATTAAATATGATTTTATATATTAAAAAAATTGTATTCTTTAGAAAACTGTTTCTGTTTTCCAGATACTCTAATTTATAGGAATTTAGGGAAAGGAGATCACTATGGGACAGTCAGCATTTACAGGCCTGATTTTATCATTATGCATCTGTACATAAAATTTGTGGGGTTTTTTGTTTTTTTCTTATTTTGTAAAGTTTCTAACTGGGATTTAACATGTGCTGTGCTCACTTACTCAGTCGTGTCTGACTCTGCGACTTCATGGACTGTAGCCCGCCAGGCTCCTCTGTCCATGGGGATTCTCCAGGCAAGAATATTAGAGTGGGTTGCCATTTCCTTCTCCAGGAATTAACATACTCATACACATAGAGAAATCCATAAATTGTAAGTAAATAGATTTTAATAGAACGAACACGGCTATGTAACTACCACTCAGATCAAGAAATAGAGCATTACCAGCAACCCAGAAGCCTCCCTCAAAATGGGAGAAAATATTTGCAAATGAAGCAACTGACAAAGAATTAATCTCCAAAATGTAAAAATCACTCATATAGCTCAGCATGAAAAAACCAAACAATACAATCAAAATATGGGTGGGAGACCTAAACAAACTTTTCTCCAAAGAAGACATATACATATTCAAAAAATATATGAAAAGATGCTCAACATCACTGATTATTAGAGAAATGCAAACCAAAACTATGATGAGGTATCACCTCACACCAGTCAGGATGGCCATGATCAAAAAATGCACATATAATTTGAGTCAAAAAGAAAGCAACTGGCTTCACATATTTTTTCTCCCTAGAATTCACAACATGTTGTCTCCTATCTACTCTGTCACCTATCTACTCTATCTACTCTCTACTCCTGTCAGAAAACTTTTTGTTTAATGTCTAAAGAAGATGTTGGAGGGAAAGGGAAATAAGTCTGATTATCAATGGTTCCTTGATTAACTTGACAGCACCCTTTCTAAACATTAAGCAAATTTTTTCAGGATATATTTTCTGTGAGTATTAGTGGCCCTTCTGTGTGAAATGGTAATGAAACCAGTACCTTCAGAGAGGCATTCGATCTTTCTCAGTTTCATGTGATTTAATAGTAATGGAAACAATGGCAAAAAAAAGGAAATGGTCTAGACTAACCCCTGTGAGTGGAAAGGTAATCAAGAACCAAGTCCTCTTTCTGACTATTTTTGTGTATTTGCATTCATTTTGCAGAATATCTGACTATAAGTGGTTCAGGATAATTCCAGGAACATGTATCTGTCAGTTTTATTGGATAGTTCAATTACCAATGCCTTTTGCTTTAAAATTATTTTGCTTTTTGTCTGTGCTCAATAGACAAATGAGTTAAGAGATACTTCATTACTTATGAATTTTATGTTTGTGTCTCCTTATCTGTGTGTATGTCTGTATGTATACATTTATTTCTACCTAAATACAGGAATAAAAATGTTAACAATTAGCCAGAGATAGCTAAACTGGAACTTAGTATGGCTTATTAGCTTAGTTTACACAATAACCAGCCAAATGTGCTATGACATGCTATTCTTCCAGGCCTTTTTCTTCCATTGCAAGACAGTTCATAATTTTAATAAATGCACATAAATACCATTATCCAAAGCACTCATTTGTCTACTAACAATTTGGCACATATGATATGATATTAACAAAGAATATGCTTCATTTCTTTAGCCCTTTTCACAGCATCCTTCACTTCCTTGTTTCTTAAGCTATAAATTAATGGGTTTAACATAGGGATAACCAGGGTATAAAACACAGATACCACCTTCTCTTGTTCTAAGGAATACTGGGAGCTTGGTTGAATGTAGCTAAAGCTTATAGAGCCATAGAATAGAGTCACAACCGTGAGATGTGAAGCACATGTGGAGAAGGCTTTGTGTCTGCCTGCTGCTGAGCGGATCCTCAGGATAGCAGCAACGATGAAGATGTAGGAGATCATCACAGTCATGAAAGTGATCAACGCAATAATGCCAGAGAAGATTAAAAGCAGCAGTTCATTCATGGATGTGTCAGAACAGGACAGCTTCAGCAGCGGGGGAAGGTCACAGAAGAAGTGCCTGATGACATTTGGCCCACAGAAAGACAATTTCAGCAAGCCAGTTGTGTGAGTCAACGAGTTGATTACGCCTCCTACACATGATCCAATGACCAGAGCAACACAAACTATTTTTGTCATAGCCACGGTATAAAGTAAAGGGTTCACAATGGCCATATAGCGGTCATAGGCCATTGCTGCCAGCAAGAAACCCTCAGTGGTAAGGAGTGACACTAACAAAAAGTACTGCACCATGCATGCAGAGAACGAGATTGTCTCCCGTTCAACAAAGAAGTTCATCAGCATTCTGGGTGCAAAGACTGATGAATAGCAGGCATCAATGAGTGATAGGCAGCTGAGGAAATGGTACATGGGTGTTTGGAGTTTGGGAGTTATTTGGATTAGAAGGAGCATCCCTAGATTACCCACCAAGGAAATGCTATAGATGGGCAGGAACAGCAGGAAGAGAGCCACTTTCAGCTCAGCATGATCTGTCAGTCCCAAAAGGATAAACTCAGTCACCAGTGTAAAATTAACATCAGCCATGTGTTTGTTTATCTTGGTACCTGTCAACAAATAAATTGAGAATGATCATTCCGCATTATCAAGACTACTCGGAATCTCTAACTAGTAATATGACTTGAGTTATTGACTGCTCTGCTCTGGTGAATTTAGCTATAAAATTAGAAAACATTTAACTAGAAATATCTATTCTCTTCAAGCACTGTCTATTTGCATGTTCCATAGAAAATTTCAAGAATTTAAGCAAGAAAACATTAGAGTCTTAGCTTTAGGATACATTCAAAATGCTATTCTTAGTGTGAAGAAAAAAGCTTAAGTGAATTTCATTCTCTGTGTGTGTGAATTGCTCAGTTGTGTCCTACTCTTTGGGACCTCATAGACTGTAGCCCACCAGGTTCCTCTGTCCATGGGATTTTTCCAGGCAAAAATATAGGAGGGGGTAGCCTTTCTCCAGGGGATCTTTCTGACCCAGGGTTAGAACCCAGGTCTCCTGCATTGCAGGCAGATTCTTTACCATCTGAGCCACCAGAGAAGCTTCTAAAATAGGCAAAATCCAGATTATAAAGCATCATTATTTAAGTTGGAAATTTAACCTGTGGTACCACTGAAGTTCTCTTTTAAAAAATGATACAGGGATGTCCCTTGGAGTAGTGGTTAGGACTCCACGCTTCCATTGCAGGGGGGACGGGGGATGCACCAGAGATTTGATCTCTGGTCAGGGAACTAAGTCCCCACAGTCAAAAACTGAAGGAAAAAAAAGTTTAAAAATGACACAAATAAACTTATTTACAAAATAGAAACAGACTTACAGATAGAAAACAAACTTATGGTCTTCAAAGGGAAAGAGGATGGGGAGATATAAAGTAGGAATTTGAAAGTAACATATGCATACTACTATAAATGAAATAGATAAAAACAAGGACCTACTGAATGACACAGGGAACTATACTCAATATTTTATAGTAAGCTATATGGGAAAAGAATTTGGAAATGAATCCATATACATTATATACAAATAATTCATATGTCTTATATACATGCATACATATACATATATATTTATAGAGATAGAGAGAGAAAATCACTTTCCCATACACCAGAAACTAACACAATATTGCAAATCAAATACACATCAACAACAACCAAAAAATAATCTTACATCAGATTTCATTGTGGCTAATGCCAAATCTATAAATATCTGAGCATAAGCTGTATCATAATATTTAAACTTTTTTCCCACTTGTGTTTTCATGTTTAGTGTGCAGTCCACATTTTTTTAAACTTTGATTTGACAAAAGGCAAGGTCCCAATATCAAAACTTCTGGATTCATTTTTAGAAAATAGACAGAGGCATTGGCTTTTGAGAACAACGTCCACTAGAAATTGAAAAGGAGTACTCTGAGCTGATATATGAAATATGATGAATAGAACTTATAATTAGCCTTTTTTGGAAAACTTCCTATTTTAAAAAAAATTATTGAAATATAGTTGGCATGTTTAGGTGATGCTCATTTTCCAAAATGACAAATCATGCAACAATATACTCCTACATTCATATAATAGTGTGGAAAGTCTTATAGAATAAATAACATAAGAAGCAGAACTGTTACTGATCTACTTTGGATGGTTTGTATTAACAATGCCTTTCTAATACAAAGGAAGATTCATGGCCTTTGATATCCAATAGAAATGCCATACTCAAGAGACTCAGGAAACAATATTTATACTTTTCTAAGTAAAGCAAGTTTATAAAATAAAGCCAACCTATAAAACACACAAGTACTTCTCTGCAATATTTGCAGAGAATCTGCAGTCTGATATTGCAACAGGTTTCTTAAAATATGCCATGTCTTTTCCACTTAACCAATGCTCATCTTTTGAGCACTTGGAAAGTCCCATAAAGTAAAACCAACCTATAGAACATACAGCAACTTCTTTGCAATATTTTTTCATGATATCACAGCAACTTTCTTAAAATATGCTATGTCTTTTCCAATGCACATTTATTATTTCTACATTCTGCCCGCAAGATGGAATTCTTTTCTCACATTTATATTAAAAATGAAAACATTGTAAATAAGTCAGGATACTAGTAACCTTGGCTCAGATGCTAAAAAAATCCACCTGCAATCTTCCTGGGTTTGATCCCAGCATTCTAGCCTGGGAAATTCCGTGGACAGAAGAACCTGGCTGGTTACAGTCCATAGGGTGGCAAAGAGTCAAACAAGACTGAACAACTGACAAACACACACACACACTTCACTCCTACAGAATAAAGGATACGGTTTTCTCGGCTTTATCATCCTTTCACATGGAAGATGCTAGCCCTGTGTTCAGTATGTAAAGCCCAATATTTCCTTATTTCCTATCATTTTAATAATCTCACAATATTGTCCTTCTATTATAGTACCCTTATAGATCTAGAATATCTGTGGAGACAGGTGAATAATCTTCGTAAGTTTACATAGTTATGATTTATATTGAAATTCATCCTTTAGAAAATATTACAAATTGAATCCAATCATTCGTTTTTATTACTCCCAAAGAAATCGCATGACAACTTTGAGGTTAATATAGAGAAAGAGACTTAAGCAGAGGATACAGAAAGAGATGAGAGTCAAATTACAAATCCCTCACTCCCCTATACCTTGAAGCCTTTATCACATTAAAATCTGAACCTCTTCTTCTTCTCTGTATTTCAACTTATATTGACAGAATGCATATATGCTGACTATTAAAATCCAGGAATTTTACTTACCAGAGAGTGGAAGAAAAAAATGTGCAGCAGTTTAGCTAATTGACGAACCTCATCACCACCCATTCTTGTGATCTATTTTTCTAAATTTCCCCCCAAACAAAAACAAGCACAGAAAATATAGTTAAATTTGTTGGTTTGCAGTGATGCATAAATTAGGTCAATGACAGAAGTTAACAGGTAGTAGATATGAAATTTAAAATTTTTAAAATAAAAAACAAAAGGCACAGATTCCATGCTGTCAATGCAAGAGTGGGATGATCAAAGAACAATCATATCAGAAAACAGAATTAGTTAAAAAGTTCATTTATATAATTACCTCAGTTCAAATGGGAATAGACTCCCTGGAGTTCATCTTGTGATCAAAGGATATAATAAATGTGTTATTAAAAGTTCCTCTGTGCATCTGGAGGGATTTAGAAAACTCACAAGAATGCAACTGCCCCCTTAAGGCATTTCACGCCCTTACTTTACAATGAATAAAGGAAATTTGCCACAAATAAAGAGAAAAAAAGTGTGTATGTGTATATATATATATATATATATATATATATATATATATGAGTTTGAGTAAACTCCGGGAGTTGGTGATGGACAGGGAAGCCTGGTGTGCTGCAGTTCATGGGGTTGCAAACAGTTGGACATGACTGAGGGACTGAATTGAACTGAACTGAACATATATATATATATATATTTATATATAAATGCAATTGATAGTGATCCCTGCAAGGTGCATTAGGAAGAGGAGCTTTTCAGAACATATCTGTGCCTAATGTCAGAAACACAGACACACACACATACACACATATAGACATTCAAATAAACACAAACAGAAGCAATAGGAAACATCAGTGAGCTTTAAGGTAGTAGAACAAGACCTGATAATTAAAAAAAAAAAATCTATCCCTTTACTTCCTTGGATTGTAAGAACATCATCAAAAAAATTACAATTAAAACTACTACATCTTAAAAGGTTTCCTTGCAAAGAACCCAACCATTGATCCAATCTAGCCTGTGTCTCCTGATAAAAATTTGGAGGTTTTTACCTTTATCTTAAAATGAATCGTGAGCAATTCTGGTAGCAGTATTTCAAACTATTCCATACATATATATATACACACATGTGGAATATATACATATATATTTGTATGTATGAACGGTCCTTTATTATTTATTCTATAATCAATTACAATTTTTCAACCTAAATTCAAATTTCTTAAATCTCCGAATTAACAGCTGATGGGGCAAAAGTTAGGGGTGGGGGTTAGGTGATATTCTAAGCTTGAGTTAGGCCATAAGATAATCCATTATTTGATAAGACTTAGAGCATTTTAAGTACTTGTGTTCTCTGTTTTTTTTTTTTAATATATAATCCATTTCAATCCACATATGAGATATTTATATAAAAAATGTACAACTAACCCTTGAATAATGTGCTGGGGTGCCAATCTTCTTGTGTAGTTGAAAAACTGATGTGTAATTGAGAGTCTTCCCTCTGTTTTTGTTTTGATGAGGTTCATCCAGTTCTGCAAATTCAACTGGGGAGCGTTTAGTAATGCAGTAGCTACAATTGAAACAAACTGATGCATGAATGTACCCCTGCAGACAGAAGGGTTGTTTGGATGTTTGGATGGCATCGGTGACTCAGTGGACATGAGTCTGAGCACGCTCCGGCAGTTGGTGATGGGCAGGGAAGCCTGGCGCACTGCAGTACAGTTCAGTCCAGTTCAGTTGCTCCGTCGTGTCTGACTTTTTGCGACCCCGTGGACTGAGGCACACCAGGGCTCCCTGTCCATCACCAACTGCCGGAACTTGCTCAAACTCATGTCCTTTGAGTCGGTGATACCATCC